CAAAGGTAGGGACGTTTTGCGCCAGTAACCCTTGTTAAAAATAGAAAGTTCACATTGATTGAAGAGCCAAGCTTTTCCAGATGGAGCTATTTCATTTTATCTCAACTAGGATGAATTTATCACTGCTATAAAAATCTGACTTGATTAGTCAATTCAATTGGAAAACTTGAAGCTGATCCATCCACCCAAAAATTCAAAAATAATAATAATAAATAAATAAATAAATCCAAGGAAATTAAGAAGCAAGATAAGACTGTTTCACTTAAAATATTTACGAGTTCAACTCTTTTACCATTTTCCTTTTCCTAGTTAATGCCCGGTCCAGTTTTCAAAACATTTGAATTGATTTCCTTTTGAGTGTGTATACTTCTTAATTTTGTGCCTTTTACAAACTGTTTGGATGTATCATGAACTTGGTGCAAAAAAATTTCACATTAAGGTAGAAGTTTGTACACAAGTGAACAATGGTGCCAAAGTGTCAAACTGGCTCTTCTTTTCAATCCCCGTGTCTAAATTGATCTATGTAAAATTATTTTCAAGAATCACATGACTATAGAGAGAGAAAAAGATTATGTGAATCTGTCGTAAACAACCCGCAAAGTGAGGGCATGAAGAGTCCAACAAACCACCGTACAATGGCCGAGTCTCTATGATTCTTGGAAGAGAAGAGCGTGTACGATTTCAGTGTGATGCCTTTTGGTCGATAGAAGTGGCGTCAACTGATTATTGAGGGTTTGGGTTTGAGGTTTTAGAGTTTGTACAGAAGGGTATAATATTCTAAGCCCTAGATCATTAATACTGAGATGCCAGTGGTTATTTGAGTTGTAAATTGTATACTTTGTGTTTTTCAATTTCTTGTTCTAATAAATTCTATACGAACCCAACCAAAATCCTGAGATTATTTTCATGCTAAGAGAAGAACAAATTGAAGAGCTTATTCAATTGCTTACTTCCCTTCGTGGATAAAGTTTCTTTTCCCATAAATTTGTGTGAGTTTGGAATAGTTTCAATTAAAAGTAAAAATTTCAGGAGCTTAATACCAAGGAAAAATATTTGGAGATGGAAGTGTAAATGAGATCGAAGGAATCTAAACTGCCTCATTCTTCTACTTATACTCCCCTACATTGTTTTCCAAAATTTGGAGTCTTTCTGAGCTTTTCGCAACCCAAAACAGTGTAACCCTAAAACGGCAGCGCAGTGCCTAAGCGCTTGGAAGCAACGCCTGGGCACCGCGATGCAATTCTGTGTAGCGCCTAGGCGCTACATCTCTGTTCACAACCTTTTGTTGCTGGTGCCTCACAGCGCCTGGGCGCCAACTTGCAGTAAAAATATTTCATTCTTGGCGTTTGGGCGCTCTGAGTATGGCGTTTGGGATCCATTTTGCTGTTTCTTTTCCTGCATTTGGCTATTTTGTTCACTTTAGCACCCTTTTTACTCCACCTCACCATACCTTTAAAACAATACTAACAGGCACATCAAAAGCATTATATACTCATAAGATTTAGTCCACAATCAATTTAAAATTGTATAAAACTCGTGAGTAAAAGCACGCTCGTCTAAGAGCACTAGACACCAATGATGCTAAATGCTGGTAATGAAAATTTTAAGAAAATGGAATTGATGAAATGTTAATGCATTGGGGACTAATAGAGCAACTCTTTGATGCAAGTTCTGAACAAGAATAACTTACAGATGTGGAAATGAAGGCATGAAAATGATTTTTTGCTTCCTAAAAAGGACGATGCACTATGGTTTAAAATTCTCTTCTCAAAGTCCATTTAGGTCGCATACCTTTTTTCTTAAGCAGATTGAGCAGAATGTCTGGATACAAGACGAAGTAAATCAGGATGTTATATTTATTTAGGCCCCAACTGTGTCGCCTGGTCATCTAAGAAACAACCATCCGTATCTAGATCATGTTCAGA